ATTTGGACGTCGGGCAGGCTTAATCGATGATGCCCCATCGAAATATATCTCCCAGAATGGTAACTTTTTGCTTTTCTCAATCTGCATGATTTGCTCGTCAGGCAAATCATCATTAAGCGGGGAGTCTGCCAGGATAGGATGCGCGGCAAAAAAATCTGCCAAGGCTTGTCCCTTTACCGCTTTCTGTGGCATGTACGTGATATCAAATTGTAGTAATATCACTGCCCACCTGGCTAAACGACCTGTCAACGCTGGTCTTGTCATCAAGAACTTCAGCGGATCGATCTTTGATATCAAGGTAATCTTGTGAGAAAGCATATAATGGCGGAGCTTCTGAACTGCAAAGATTAATGCCAAACAATGCTTCTCAATTGGGGAATAGCGGATTTCTGCTCCAATCAACCTCCGACTAATGTAGTATAACGCATTTTCCTTGCCTTCTTCGTTATGCTGGGCCAACAGTGCTTCGAGGGACTCTTCTAATGCCGCTGTATACAGTATAAGAGGCTTCCCCAGAATTGGTGCCACAAAAATAGGAGAGTTCGATAAGTATCTCTTGATACTATCAAATGCTTCTCGGCATTCATCATCCCATTTAAAGCAGACATCTTTCTTCATCAACATTGAAAATGGCTGGCACCTACCCGACAGATTCGATATAAATCGTCGAATGAAAGCTAGTTGCCCTTGCAACGAGCGAAGTTGACGGAGGTTTCTGGGAGGTGGCATCTCCATAATCGCCTTGATCTTATTGGGGTCGACCTCGATGCCTCGGTGTCGAACAACGTATCCCAAAAATTTGCCGGAAGAGACTCCAAAAGCACACTTGAGAGGGTTCATCTTCAGATCATACTTCCTGATTCTTTCAAATACAATCCTTAAGTCATTCAAGTGGTCTCTTCGGTCTACGCTCTTGACAACAAGGTCATCCACATAGCACTCGACCTTTTGATGTATTAACTCATCAAATATACACGTCATTGCACGTTGATAAGTGGCACCAGCGTTTTTAAGGCCAAAGGGCATAACTGTGTAACAGAAAATACCGATGGGCGTTCTAAATGATGTATGTTTTTCATCCTCAGTTTCCATCTTAATTTGATTGTAACCCGACGAACCGTCCATAAATGAAAACATGTCATAATTGGACGTGTTATCTACTAGTAATTCTGATACAGGAAGTGGAAAGTCATCTTTTGGGCACGCCTTATTGAGGTCTCGAAAATCGATACAGATACGAATCTGACCGTTCTTCTTCTTGACAGGGATAATATTGGCAATCCAATCAGCATATTTTTCTTCGCGGATAAAGCCTGCTTCTATAAGCTTTTTTGTCTCTGCAATCACCTGTTCTTCGATCTCCAATCTCATTCTCCTTGGAGCTTGCTTTACAGGCACTGCATCGTTCTTGATGGCTAACCTGTGAACTGCCACATCAGGAGATAAGCCGGGCATCTCGACATATGTCCAGGCAAAGCAATCCCTGAATTCACAGAGAAGCTCTTTCATTTCTTCCGCTTGGTCTTCTGATAAAAGGGAGCTAATGAAGGTTGGGCGAGGGTCTTCTTCAGTCCCCAAGTTGACTTCTTTTAGCTCATCCATAGTAGCTGTCTGTCCACCATCTTCTAATTCTTCAGGTTCTTCAGGTGCAGGCTTGGCCTCTACGGGCTGATCATCATAAGTATCAACTTCATATATTTCCTCATCATCGCTATCATCTAATTTGACTTCCCCGCATGTGATTGCTTGGCAAGTCTCCTTTTGGGGATGTTTTTGCACGATGAATCCGAGACCTCTCCTTACAATAATATCTTTCTTTCGTAATGGATGTGGATGTCTTCCATACCAAATGCTCAGGCAAAAGCGGAGTTGTTGTTTGGAGGTAGGAATATTGATTTGCTTTCGCAACATTTTACGGATATTTTTGGTAATGAACCTGGGCATTCTTGTAGGTATTAGCTCTCCGGAATCAACGAGCCTACAAAACCAGTCGCGATTTGCTTCTTCTTCACGCTCTCCACCTTTATAGAATAAACTTCCTGGCCCGCCCCTTTTTCTATGAGGTGGCACATATAATGTTACAAGTTCTTCGATATGATGTACCTTCCGGGGAGTAATTTCCTTGAAATGTTGTATGGGAACGCGCGTGACTACGAATACGCTGTCCGAGATTGACAAGTTACCCATTCTTCTTGAGAATACACACTTCACATTGCTCGTGTAGGTAGACTCACAATCAAAGTCAGAATCTGAGTATTCAGCCTTCTTTTTGCCTTTGCAATTTGACTGACATGCCTTCCAAGATTTTGTAGGGGTGACCTCATCTTCATCTGTGTCGCTCCCTAGGTGAGGTACATGTTTTCTTTCTTTAGTAGCGATCGCTGCTTTGGAAAGAGTTGGCGTTGCCTTCTTTCTCCCAACCTGCTTCTTTTCACCTTCTTGTTTTGGTCGCTTTGTAGTTTTAGTACTCGACAACTGGACCTCAAGAGAGCTCGATGGCTTCAGCTTCTTTGGAATGAAATACTTGGCATCTTCATAGATTGTAGCTTCGTGCACTGCAAAAGGTTGGATGTCACCAGAGATCCTGAACTCTTCTCCATCCTTAAGGTACTTCATGCACTGATGTAACGTTGATGGGACAATACCATACTCATGCAACCAAGGGCGACCCAGGAGCGCCTTGAAAAAAGTATCTGCATCAATCACATGAAATTTGGCTTCTGTATGAAGCTCCCCAAATGTTAGAGAGAGCATAAATGATCCTAGGGTCTTCTGCCCTTTCTCGTTGAAACCATGCACCATTAGCTTATCCGACCCGAGATGCTGCACGTCAAGGCATAATGATCTCCGGGCTTTTAAGCTTATAAGGTTGATGGAGGACCCAGGGTCGATCAGAATTCGGCTGATTATCATTTCGTCGCTCTCTGCAGTAACGTACAGAGGGCGGTTATGATCCGCCGTCCCAAGCATCATGTCTTCTTCGGAGAAGGTGATGAACGGCTCGTTACGGGCTTGAAAGACTTCC